CTCAAGGTCTCTTCGGGACAACACTTCATGTTCTCTCACATTTTTTTCCTCCACATTTATAAATCTCCTGCATCCTATGCCATTATGAAGCATTTTTCATCCCACAATATTCTAGCCACCTTCCACCAACATTGCACATTCTTTAAAATTAATACATGACAGAAAATAATTTGTACGTTCCCATAGCTGTCAGGGAAACAGTCTGATTTTTTGTGAGCTCTGAGGTGGAGCAGTAAGGCAGCTTTGGAGCCAGTGTGGGATTTATGATTTCCATGCCTTTTGGACAGCAGCGTTTTCTTTTTAAGATTCTGAATGAAAGTTATTTGTATATTAATTGTCCCTCTCCCACAGCTCAGCGCTTCACGTAGGGATGCACGATATGAGGAAAATATGCAATATTTCTGCTGCTTTGGGTAAACTGCTAAAATGTAACAAATTGCATGTTGTATTAAGAAATATTGAGAAGAAATTATTTCCAACATTTGGACAAACTGAGCATTAAACCTAACACAAAAGGCAGTGATTAAAAAGAGTGATAGTCACATTTTAAAGTGCAGTTTTCTACTGGTACTCTCTTTCAACTGACTCAAAAAATCCCTGCATGTAATATCATATTCTTTTGTGATATGTTGACATAGCAATATTGATAAAGAAAAAGATATACTATGCAGCCCTAGTTAACAGAGAATCCAGAGGAGCACAAATGTGAGAATGTAGAACCCACTCTTGCAAAAAATGACCACTTCATTTGACTGTGCAAGCAGCTTTCTTAGGCCCATACTTGTGTTTATTGTAAGGCGGCACCCTTATTGGATCTACAAATCTTGAAGAACGACCTACAGTATGGGCGAGAGGGAAGTTGGATGGGTCAAACAAACACAGGACTTTTCACCCAGGAGACCAGTGTTTGTGTCGAAAAGTCAACATTGGCTTCTTTTAATGTACGTAGCCTAGTGTGCTAGTATATGTAGCATTCTAGGCCAGTGACTTATGTGACGTGTCATATGGTTAGTGACAAAAGCTTAGGGGCTTTCACACCAACCAAAGAAGGGAGTGTCGTTTGCTCATTTGGATGTATACAGGAAGAATAGCTGATGTCATGACATCAGCTAATGGAAATCCTAGAAATAAACAAACAAATAAACAAACCTGAAAGTCCGGACCAAGGTTTTTGCTACATTGTATACATTTGGTCCGGTTGGTTTGGTTTCACACAGCATTAAGGCGACCGGACCAAATGACATATTGACGTTAACTACATATGTTGCGTCTCCCTGCACTTGACTCGTTCGAGATGAACTGCGCCTCACCTGTAAAGTAGACGAGAGCAGGCGGCTGCAGCGGGGGGCGGTGACAAAAAGCTGTGGTGAAGTCGGACAGTTTCCCGACAGTTTCCAGCAGCCTTCAGTCCGTACAGGTAGTCACAGACACACACAGTTTCTTCTTCGTGTGTGTTTTTTTCCTCCTGTGTGTTTCTTCTTCGTGTGTAGGCTAACCACCAATACTTCCTGTTAAAGATTTTAAAGTCCAAACTATCGAAAAAAAAAGCTTCCACACTGCAAAAGTCCGAACTGTGATTTCGTTTGGGCCGGACTGAGACCACCTATTTTGGTCGGGCCAAATTTCGGGTCTTTGGTCTGGACCATGGTCTGGGGGAGCTTTCACACCTGTAAATTTGGTCAGGATCAAACGGAAAAGTCCTAAAGTCCGGACCAAACGTTTATTTTCTAAACCTAATCATATAGTTTTCTCACCTAAACCCAACCAGGTAGTTCTGGAGTGGAACTGCGACTGTTTCATGAAGCTAGGGACGTGTATAAAATGAAATATACACAATATATAGATCAATTTCTGTTCTGTTTTAGATGACTCATTGCACTTTGTTGTGGCATTACATTTGTGGTTGCAACAACAAAGTGTTTTGAATAAGTTGAAAGTGAAAATATCTAACATTACTAAATAATGTAAAAAGGAAAAATATCTGTATTTGAGTCCTTAAAAAATGTACAGCTTCTATTGCTGTCATTATAAGCAGCCAGAAGACACAATTACAGTCTCTGTGTTGTAAGTTTGTTGTGTAACTGTTAGATGTGTCTTATGCAACCAATGTTATTTTCTTTAATGATAGTCCATAATAAGCAGGGTCTTGTGTTTGAGCTGTCGTGCGATGGGTTTCAATTGAAATCCAGCCCTTGGCTCATCATGCACAGACCAACGAAAGCGGGTCAAAGTCTGACCCGACAGACAAAGGGCTGTTGTGTCCAACACTGAAATCCTCTCAACAGGACCACAGAAATTACTTGTCAGGGCTGCTCTGGACCACCAAGGTTCCACACGCCTCACACAGGACAGACAGGGATAGGGGTGGTGCACTGGATGGTGGATGGTGGAGGGGAGCAGGTGTGTCTGTTTGATTAGTCAGAGTGACAGCAGAGTGACAGGTGTCTGACAACCAGGTGCCACATCAGTCCTCAGGGGGGGACCCAGACCTCCCAGCAGTATTCATTCATTCATTTCACTCTCACTCTCACTCACCGAGTGAATGACATGATAGAGAGACAGAGAGAGCGAGGGAGTTTCAGGCAGCCAGACAGGCCTGAGAGACTCCGAGATAATTACTGTCTCCACAGATTCCCTCTCGACTTCTCAGAAAGAGAGAGAGAGAGGAAAGAGAAAGGGATGGAAGGGCAAGCCGGCAGGTGGTATGCTTCATTACATCTTATTAAAAGAGCAACACATTGTTCAGGTTGGGCTGGTTTGAGAGCACTGCAGTGTGCTGAAGAAAAGGGCAGCGTCACTGGCTCTAGAAGATTTCCTGTCCTGCTGTCAATTAGCATTTGGAAATTTGAATGAAACACACTAAATAATTTCATAAAACTAGGTAGAGATGTTATGGCCAACAGGTCATGTGACTGACTGTAGCTACCTTTATCATTAGCTCTTTTTTTTCAAGTCGCTATCATTGCATTAAAATGTGCCCAAATTTACTATTAATTGCAAAAAAATGTTTAATAAAAGCTGTTGTATGGACTGCAGAACTGAAATGGCATAAATAGAGAGGATCCAGAAACTGGAATGAGCTGACTTTTGTAAACGGATTTTGAGAAAATTAAAATGTAAATCGTCAAGTTAAACTGTTTAGAGATAAGGGCCTGTTTATACGGTTCCGTATATTTCTGAAAATTGGTATTTATCTTTACGTTTGCACCTATCATTTACACGTAACTGGTGTTTTTCTCGATGAAAACAGATTTTCAAAAACGGCTTCCAAAGTGAAAGTTTTTAAAAATATCCATTTCGATGAAGATGTGATAGACGGAGATTTTGGAAAATGATGACGTTGCAACCCAGTTCGCACATGCCCATTAGGCGCCCAGGAACCACAACAACAATGGCAGATGTATGCCGGGTTGTTTACGTTTTGTTAGCACTTTTGGGACTTCTTACGAGCTTATAAATGAATTTTGCACTGCTGCATCAACATCACCGCTACATTGGCGCACAAAGAAGTCTGCTGTGCCCAATATAAGTAAGTGCATTGCAGCTAACTATGCTACATAATATGTAGTTTAACATTGTTTTTATCACTAGCACCAAGAGGAAAACAAATCACTGTGCATGCACAGAACGATCTTCTATGGTGTTTGACATATGGCGTATTGCTACCTATTGGCCTGGTATGCTAATGGCAGCAAAAAGCTGCCGTTTTTGAATTTTCGTGTGAACAGGGATATCGTTTTCACAACTGATCGTGTAAACCCGGAATTTTCTTTTATACGGGATAAATAAAAATCCGTTATTTGTATCAGGAGTTGCCCATGCAAACAATTTTACAATTTTCCCCCCTCTGGCAAAGACAGTAATTACGGCTGTGGCTCAGAGGTAGAGCGGGTTGTCCACCAATCGGCATTTCGATCCCCAGGCCCTCCAGTCTGAACATCGAAGTATCCTTGAGCAAAATACTGAGCCCCAAATTGCTCCTGATTGCTGTTCCATGTGTGTGCCAGTGTGTTAAAAAGTGAGTAGCAGGTGGCACCTTGAATGGTAGCCTTGGCCACCAGTGTATGAATGTGTGTGTCAATGGGTGAATGTGACTTGTTGTGTAAAAAGCACTTTGAGTGGTCGATGACTAGAACGGCGCTATACAAGTGCTTAAGTGCTTATGACGTATGCCTGCAGGTGAGCACTCCACATCTGTCCAGCCCTTAGGAGCACTCTATTCAAATATTTTTTATTTGAGTTTCTTCTTGTTTTTCTGGTGCATCAACTCCAGAAACTTATCTGGGAGGCTTCTTAGGATTTTCCTTCGTAGCCTCCACCATACTCCTAGCTGCTGCTCTGATGCTATGGTCTCTCCCCCTTTCTTTCCCCTACATCTTTATCTTGAACTGTTGACACACATAGCATCAGAAGAAAACACCAGTAAATTATTCTCTGCCCCCTTCACTCTGGCTTGTGGATGTAAAACACATCACTTTGTGTGTGCCTGCATGAGAAAGTTACTGAGACATACAAAGACCTTTTCCTCGTGGCGTTTGGCTTAATCGGCATGGTGTGAACTCATCTGGCAAGGGCTTGGATGTTATGTCGTGTATTCAATTATGTATAAAAGTCCTGCACTCTAGCTCTAGGCATGTTAAGCTTAAGCATGCAATGTTTACCATCCAAGCCTATGCACATACTTATCATGTTATGCTAGCATCAGTACATACAGCTGAGGCATGATGGTGTTTGGGTCATGTGAAAGCTATCCCGACAAGAAATAAGCAGAAATTATGACCTGTTGGTGGCACTACATGAAAAGTCATTATTGAATTATGGCAAAGGCACTATTTTGTGTAGAAACAAACCCTATAGCTATTTATATTTCACTCAGAACCAAAATGTTGGACCAACCACTATGTCACAAGTGTGGCTACAATATATGGTTATTATTTCGCAGGGATGACCCTCTCAGGTCTACGTCTCACTCTGAATTTGTCATTTTGTTTCATGTGTAGCTGCAAACAGAAGCTGTATTCAGAGAAGCTGCCCAACACCAGCATCATCATCCCGTTCCATAACGAGGGCTGGTCATCGCTGCTGAGGACGGTCCACAGCGTGCTCAACCGCTCTCCTCCACAGCTCATAGCAGAGGTCATCCTGGTAGACGACTTCAGCGACAAAGGTACAGAGGACGCTCACTCATCTCGGATTAGGAAACACACACACATTCACACAGATACAAGAGCCCAGCTGCAGGCTTGCTTGTAATAACTGAGAGTTTTAGTGGACTGTGGTATTTTCTGCCTGTGTCTCTTTCTTTCTTTCTTTCTTTCTTTCTTTCTTTCTTTCTTTCTTTCATGTATCCCCCATTTATTTGTTTGCAAGTGTGTTGGTGACCGTTGCACAAATAATGAGCTGTTCAGAAACCAGAGCATTAGCAAGCTTCTGCAGAGGCCCAGATGTGATCTCAAGATGCTCTTGCTTTTGTACATCCTAAGCAGGCAGAGGGAGAAAACACACACACACACACACACACACCCTTGTGAGTCAGTGTTTCAGGAATGTACCTCACTGGCCCATTCGGTCATTTTTTAAAAGGATCAGAGAGCAGATAGCATTGCTGAGTTGAGCTCACCGCTCTACTCTTGACTGTGTGTGTCTGTATTTGTGTGTGTGTACATGTTTAAACTTTGGTTCTACTGGGTTGCCAGGGAAAACTTTGCTGTTTTTAATCACTGGATATTGGCGAGTCACTGCTGCTAACTTCTGATGTGATGATGTGAGGTTCATTATTGACCGCTGGTACATAAACATGGCCGACAGCATCACATCCTCACACTGCTGCTGGAACTTGTCAAAAAAATATAATTATATTTGTGTTAATCTTCTTTTCTTTTTAATCTTTTTTAAGATGTTAACCAATTTTTGTCCCGAGACTGCGGATTAGTTTTCAATGCAAAGCCTCTCGCTTCCTCACAGGCTGCATGAGTGATTGTGTTTGGAGCTAAAGACTGCAGCGACCTCTGAACAGATGGTGATGATGAGGGCATTGTGCGACCCTGCCAGTGTTAGCGAGGTTAGCGAGAGAAAAAATCCACTTCCTGGTGTGGATTTGTATTCTCACACAGGCAACTTAATCAGTTTGAACTCTGGAGTTAATGTACAGCTTTGAACCCTTGCATAATAAATCGGGGGACAAGTGCAATATTATCGCCGGGGTGTGAGCGGAGGAGGGAGCAAGATATTCATCATTAAGCCTGGTTCATAGCCACCGTGTGACGCATAATTTCCTGTTCACTTTTCCGTTTCCTTAGATATTAAATATTGCACTAAAGATATATGAAGGGAGAGAGAGAAAAAAATGAAGGATATGAAGAATTATTTTAATTGGACATTAAGAGGTAAATTTCTGCTCAAGTGTGTGTATATGTCAGTTGTTGCATGTTTGTGTGTGAGTTTTTAGCTCGATGTTACAGCCTCAGAAGGGCACAGGGGGTGTGCTGATTGTCTGGGCATCCTGAAACTCACCTGCTATTTTGGTTTATCAATGAACAACACCGTGTAAATGGTGCTGGCTAAGGTGGAATATAGATTGGAGGGAAAGGCAACTAAATAATTGCCAGAATAGATGTTGGCATTGTATGTTTCTGCACACCATGGATATGTCACAATTGCACATTATGTTATTTATGTTATTATGTTTCAGCAACACTGTGGTTAACATGTGGTTGGGTCTAGGGACAAAAATCACTTTGTTCTGGTTAGGAAAAGATCATGTTTTGGCTTAAAATGCTCAGCTTTCGGGGTTCAATTCCAAAGGAAATGCAGGGATGTCTTGGTAAAATACAACCACTTTACGTGGTGCTATCCCCACTAAAAAAGCAGTGACGAGTTGTTACAAAACACCCATGTTTGATGCCTGAAAAGCCACTTGAAAAACAGTGGGGTCTCATTTACATCACAAGTGATGCACTTGCGAACAGTCGCGGTTTACTCGCGTTTGCATTTCAGCGAGCATGTTAACAGGTAAGAGCATTCACACTGCATCCGTTCTATGCGCTGCTCGAGTAGCACTGCTTTCGCGAGCAAACTTGAAAATAGAAGAGACACTGTTTTTTTGCAAGAAACGCGAGCACATGGTTGCTGTATTCAACAAAAAACTTGTATTTGTGTGTGTTGTGAACTCTCTCGGCCACCGTAGACACCAAGACAAATGCGCTGTTTGTGCTAAGGCTAGTAACACAAAGCAGACAAAGACTACTTGCCCATTTGTAATGCTAAGTATTAATTCTCCAAGCGTTGGAATAATCACTGGCGCATGAACCTCTCCACCCTGGGCTTTGGGTCCAAACTCACTTCTTCTTCTTTGGGGTTTATTGGAGATTTGCAGTCACGGTGCACTACCACCACCAACTGTTCGGGTGTGGTTTGTATTTTGACGGGACAGCAGCGGCCGCTGCGTGACGTGTCTATTCGGTTTTGGTGTGAATAGACACTGCTGCTCTTTGTCTTGTGCTGTCTCTGTCTGATCTATCGGAGCTATCTGACGGAACATTTGCAGCCGGATACACGATGGACTCCTGGGAGAAGTGGAGGATCGTGTGCCTGTCGATCCTTTCCGTTGAGGATGTTGAAGACGTCTACATAATTGGAATTATGATAACAGGCATTCTGCTGTTTGGAGTTAGCAGCTTCCTGATCTATCGCAAAGTTCAGAAGAAGTTGGCAGCACTTTTGGCAATCGAGAAGCTGCCTGTCATGACTGAGGGAATGTGCAGGGCTGTCAACACTCAAGCTATATGTGAGTTCAATCGCAAGCTGGATGCGACTCCTGAACTCCTTCGCAAGATGGATGCCAACTTGGAGAAGTTGTCAGCTCGGCTCGGCTGAAACTGGCCACCAATTCAGACATATTGGAAGCAAGCCACCGGGAGACTCAGAGAGACTCAAAGGCAGACGAAAAAATTGCAGTGTCGGCCTGACCCAAAACAATTGTTATCGTCATTGGCTCCCCGAGATAACCAGCCTTCCCAAGGCCGTTTACCTCTCCACTCTCCTGGATGTTATGCAGACAAGATGCTCCGGCCCCATTTCCCCCCAACCACCCCCTCCTCCTGTGAACTTTGTTTCTGGATCAGAACTCTCAGAGGTCGTCTCCACGGCAACGGCTGTGTCTTCGTCATCAGTTATCAGACGGCAGAGACAATGGGTTGGGACTGAGTGGAGATGAAGTACATGCGATGTGGCCAAATGTGGCTGCGTGTTCTCCTGCTCCTGTCCTCCCCTGTTCTGTTATGTGGGGGTGGGAGGGGCGGGTTTTCAATATTTGTAGTATTTTTTTTTTTTTTGTATGTTTTTAGTTTGTAAAGCGCTTTGGGGTTGCATTTTTGATGTATGAAAGGCGCTATATAAATAAAGTTTGATTGATGATTGATTGATTGAATACATGTGTGCTGCCGCTACGCTTGTGGACCGCTTTGCGAGTGCTAACGTGAACGCATCGCTGGCGGTGTAAATGAGGCCTGACGCTCGCTACAAAACACCCACATTTGGTGCCTCAGCAGCTACTGGAAGCAAAGCAATGACTTGCTAAATCACAACTGTTTTGTTTGTTGGGTGAGAACTGTCGTCTGCAGGTGCCTCACTTATGTAACGAGCCATCCACCATCCCCTCCACCTCCAGATGATGAAGTCAGCTCATACATCAGTGTCTCTTATTATATGTATGAAACGTGCAAATAGAATGTATTTATGGTTTGCAGAAACAAACAATGCCAACATTTTTTCTGTGGTGACTGGACTCAATAAATATGCTGTCAGCCAGTCACATCTCTGGACTGATTTCCCTTAAACAGCTGAGCCAATCACAGTGACACATCATGACAATAGCTTGACAAATGAAGAATCAGTGTATCGGCCCCATAAATCTGCAGCCAACAGCAGATGGTGTTTTTAACTATTAATTAGTACAATAATTATAAACAAATAAAAAAAAGTAGGTTGGTGCAGTTTTCATAATTACCATATCAGTCATAATGTTGCTGTTTTTCATGTTGCAAATAGTCACATCATATCCTAAAATGTGACATAGCAGCATTAGTATTACATTCCAACAATAAAAAGTGAAGTGTTGAATTTGAAAAAAAAAAGGGTAAAAGAGGCCGTGATGCACAGGATTAATGAGCCCCCAGTAAATCAACATATCCCTCATAAACAATCACAATATGAGTTATAGCCGACCTATCTGATGAGTGTAGAGGTGTGTGTGATTATTTTGTCACAACCTGGTGTCATTTGCATGTGATTTAATCAAGGACACTGGATGGCTGTGTGTGCGTAATGGCGCAGCGCTCTGCTGTGGCTCCTCTCTAATGGGAGGCTGCAGATTTATCAATATATCTGCCCTGCCGCTTTCACATGGCTGCAGGGATTTAATGAACTGAAGGAGAAGATTGCATACAGTATAAAGCAGCTGCGGACAACAGATTAATTTATAGATAATGCAGACTAATTTACCAGCCTCCTTGCTTTAACTACATCAAATGCGCCAGCGATAACCGTGGCTGGAGGCATTATCTTCTTGGGTTGTCTGTCCGTCCGTCTGTCCTTCTATCCTTCGATCCTTCCATCTGTCCGTCCTTCCATCCTATTCTTGTGAGCACGATATCTCAAGAACACAATAGGAGAATTTTGCAATTAGGCACAAACGTCCACTTGGACTCAACAATGAGATGGAATTTGGTGGTCAAAGGTCAAGGTCACTGTGACCTTCTGAATTATGTTCACACAAATGTCTAGTAGGATGAAAATGTGATAAAGGCATATTATATCCAGAAGGTCAAAGGTCATCTGTACTCTGACATCAGAGTGTTCTCCAAAAACACTGACTGGCCATTTTTCAACATCAGAACTCAGGAGCAGAAGGAGAGACATTTGGTCAGATCTCAGACATGGACATAAACTTTAAGAGAAACTTGACTGATACAAAGTTACCAAAGTTGAGTGACGTAGTGCCAGAAAAACAGATGTAGTTCTGAGACGTCTATTCTCAGTCCAATTACTCAGACACACTTGTTAGCGCTAATGATCCTCCCACCTGTTTAGGCACCAAAATACCACACAGACTGGCAAAGCAAGCTACAAGGTTAAGGAAACACCAAATGGCCACCACAAAAATAGCTC